TAGTCCATTAAAAGTGACCAATTTCAGAAAACCTATAGTTTTTTTTTTCACATTAAAATTTTAGTGCCTAGAAAGAATTATTTTTTATCACATGCTATTTTTTTATTTTTACCTTTTTGTACAACAAGTTACATTTAAAATTTTTGTGTTACTCAGGACTGGGTATCTGCACAATTGTGGAATAACTATAATAGTTAATTCCACGGGTAAAGTACATTTTATAAGTAATGGACTATAATCCAGTGGGGTTAATTTTAGTAGGAACACAGAGTTTGTAATGGAAATAAACAAGACTGACAGTGGCTTTTGACAAAGTCATGTTTGCAGCTCGTCATTAAAGAAGACTCTGTCCTATGAAAATGACACATAAGTTTCAAAAATATATGGAGTTTTAAAATCAGTATAACATTTAAAATAATTACCTTGTTTTAGTAAGTAAACTTATTTTTCAATGTTTTTGTTTTTATTTTGTTTTGTTTTGTTTGAGACAGTACTTCTGTTAAGATCTCACACTTGTGATCTTCTTGCCTTCACCTTGTGTATGCTGGGACCTCAGGTGTGCACCTGTGTGCTGGACTGCAGGTGTGCACCTGTGTACTGGGACTGCAGGTGTGTACCACCACGCCCAGCTAATAAAGAGATTTGTAAATTTGTAAATAAAATGATTAGGCAAGGATGTTTTTGAAAACTGTAATGATTTCTGGAACTTGCTGTAATCATTTTGTTAGAAAATTGTTAAATAAAGACTGGGAATTTATCACAATATTCATATTCTTTTTGTTTGATTTATTTTAAAACTTTCTCATGTAATTTATAACATAACCTCTCCCAATTTTCTCTTGTTAAAGAAACAAATGCCAGGAGAGCCGTAGACAGAGGATATGTTCAAGTACTTTTAACAATTTATGTAGATTGGCACCGCCATGATAATCGGCATAGAAACATGCTCATTCGGAAGGGAATTTTACAGAGCCTAAAAAGTGTCACAAACATCAAGTTGGGAAGAAAAGCATTTATTGATTCGAATGGGATGAAGATTCTGTATAACACTTCACAAGTAAGCTACTTTGTTCTTGTTATTCTGCTTATGTATTAATGATATTGTTTTGTTATTAAGAAAATGAATTTATGTGCAAAGTGTACATATCATAAATATGTTTTAAAATTTCTTAAAACCAAAAATGCCAATTGATTTTTCACATGTGACCCCAGAGATGATTGGAGAGAATGGCAGGTCTAGAGCATGAGTCTCATCCTGTAGTTATATAAACTACGAGCACATTGGGAGCGGTTCCATAAGGTTGTGTGTGTGGGTAATGAGATTGGCTCAGTTTTGTGTGCTCGCACAAGGTATGTGAGGGTCCTCCAGCTGGCAGGAGCTCTGCTGTGAGCATTGGGAGTGTCTTTCTGCTGGATAGGACCATGGTCAGTTTTCACTGCAGAGGGTTTATAGATGAAGGGTCTATGGAGCCTGCCAGCTCTGCTGGGCTCTTAACAATGACATTCCTGAGAGTGTGCCTCTGGGCCACCCCGTAGAGGATTGTCACTAGGGGAAAGAGGGAAGTTGCAATGTAGCTGTCTATTCTTTGGAAGGACCAGTTAGTTGTTGAGGCTGCACTCTCTTGATTTCCCACACAGTAAACAACCTTTCTGCCTGACAGTAGTTCAGGCATCTAAACACTTGGCATGTTTATTCTGAGTGTTTTCCTTTTCCTACACCAAGCCTATATACCTGATTTTCCTATCCAGATGCACACAGTAGTGGGTATTTGATTTACAATGATGAATTAGGTGGTTTAACATTTATGAGCCTTAACTATGTGCTCAACTAGGTCAGTCGTGTGTTGTAGATTCTGTAGTATGTCAGAGTGCCACTGAAAGGCCAGTTGTCACTGACAGTATTGTTAAGTCACCTGTAATTGACAGGGCCAAGTAGCCAAGCTCTTAAGACTTGAAGTGGGATCTGCCCCTGCAGTTGTCTGACAAGCTGCATAGCCATTGTGTAGGAAACAGAGGACCTGGTTCTGAGAGACAGTCAGTCAGTCAGTGCACACACTTTTGTATTCTTACAACTCAGTTCTCAGTGCTTCCCTGATTCTTCATGCCCTAGACCTGCTGAGTATCTAAGTGATTTGTACTTGGTGATTTTTAGTGTCAAAGATAAATACTAAGTTTTGTCTAGTGAACATTTAAGGGAAAATCCTACTGGATCAGTCAGATGTGACTCCAAAGTACAGATACTTTTGCAGAGTAAAGCCGTTTTATAGCTATATTGCATTACAGTATTACTTTATGTGGTGTTTGTGGCTAGGAAATCATAATTGTGTTACAGTTTGAATACAGCAGTGTTGAGCTGTTCACTAACTCATATATCCTTGTTTAAACAGGAATGCTTGGCGGTCAGGGCCCTTGATCCTCTTGTCAACACCTCTAGTCTGATAATGAGGAAATGTTTCCCCAAAAACCGCCTGCCACTCCCAACCATTAAAAGTTCTTTCCACTTCGAGTTGCCAGTTATCCCCGTGACTGGACCTGTGGCCCAGCTCTACAGCTTACCCCCTGAAGGTAGGCGGCCATGGCTGCTGGGGAACTCTGTTGACATTGTTGTTTATAACTTGGTTCCTCAACAGAAGGGTCTTAATGTGAGCAAGATAGACCCTCACACTTATTTAGTTAATAAGCATTTCTTCAAATATAAGAAGCTGAAGTCTAAGAAGGCAAATACTGTTGCATGTATGTCAAAATGAGTTGTGAAAACACTCAAGAAATTAGTCAACAATCAGTGTAAAGATTCAGAGTATAAGATGGTGACGTAAGGGCTGGAGAGACAGCTCAGAGGTTAAGTAAGAGCCCTGGCTGTTCTTCCAAGGGTCCTGAGTTCAATTCCCAGCAATCACATGGTGGCTCAGAACCCTCTAGAGTGAGATCTGGTGCCACCTTCTGGTGCGCATGCAGAATGCTGTGTAAATAATAAGTCTTTTGAAAAAAAAAATGGTGCCACCAAATGCTTAGGTCATTCATTATGTTCAGGATTGCCTGTGTAGCTTTTAAAAGATTTTTTTTTTAATTGCACATCATGGTTAATTACCTTTATATGGCATGCATGTGTTTTTGTGCCATGCTTATTTATGCTTCTGCTTCAGTGAGCATGTGGAGGTCAGAGGGCAGCCTTCAGAAGTTGGTCTTTCCTTTCACATGTGCGTTCCAGGGACCAAACTTACAACATCAGGCTGCTGGCAGTCACTGAGCCAAGACCCTGGCCTGAATTTTCCCCTATAAGTTAAAAATCTAATCATCAAAATTAGAAAAAAGATGAACAAATAACATACTTGGAAGAAAAGTGAAATTATTTGAGGAAGGCTGTTTTGATTTTTAGTGTAACACTGTAGGTGTGTAGTAAGGAAGAATTTAAACTTTCCAATGTGGTTTTCGTTTGCTTGTTTTTTGGTTTTGGTGGTATCTACTGAAATGGAAGAAAGATGTAGTAATGGGTATCATAGAATTGTTTTCTTATTTTTTTGAAAAAAGTTATTTTTATATTTTTTATTATTTATAAAATACTTGAAATAAATGTTTTAAAAGAGCTTTCAGGTAATCAAGTTTTTGATTCCTTAATATGGATTTATGACTGGCGTCTGTCATAAGGTACATCAGTATTAATTAAAAATATTTAATTATCTATGCACAGATTTAACTGGTACAGAATACCAAAATGGATCATTTAGAAACACCTTTTAAAAGTAAGACTGGTGAGATGGCGAGATGGCTTGTAGGTAATGAAATTTTATGCTAAGCCTGGTGAATTGAGTTCAGTCCTCAGCACCCACATGGTGGAAGGAGAAAGCAAACTCTGGCAAGTTATCCTCTGACCTCTATATCTGTGCGTGTGTGTGAGTGTATGTGTGTGTGAGTAAGTGTATGTGTATGTGTGTAAGAGAAAGAGATAACAGTTTAAAAAATACAAAGTTTAAAAGCAACAAGATTGAATTAGAAACTTCTGAGTAAGATAGTTGAATGTAAGCTGGGAGTGGTGGTGCACGCCTGTAGTCCCAGCACTTGGGGAGGCAGAGGCTGGTGGATCTCTGTGAGTTCGAGGCCAGCCTGGTCTACAGAGTCCAGGACAGCCAAGGCTACACAGAGAAGCCCTGTCTCAGAAAAACAAACAAACAAACAAACAGATAGTTGAATGAAACAGTTTTCTAATTTCTTTCTGTTCATTTGAAATTTCCAACAGACTTTGAAAGTGTGAACATTTGTAGCAAATCTGAAAGGCAGGCAAAAAGAGTCTTTTGAAACAGTATACTGCTGTGGTATAGATAAGCCAAGGGAGGACACGGTCTTCTCCTCTAAGGGCAGTGTTTCTGGCTCCAATTATGTCACAGGCATTTAATTTGGAGGGACAGTCAAGGAGCTTTTGAAATCTTTCTTTCCTGTATCTCAATACAGGACTATGGAGATCTAAGTTGAAGGTGTTAACTGGTGGTTCTGACAGGTAGAAGGCTGTATAAGTTCTATGATGCAACAGGAAGTAACAGCAGTAAGAAAGTAGAATATATCCTGATAGTGATATTTTAGTCAGTGTCCTGATTAAGGGATAGTGAAAGTTCACCTGCAATGTAGTGAGTTCATCAGGCCTGGGGGGAAAATGAGAAAGATGATATTTTCCTGTGGCCTCCTTTTCTGTGTGCTTCTCTGACTTGATGAATCACTGAACTAGAAATATGTTTGTTAACTCACAAGTCTTCATTAAAATGTGATGGGAAGGTTCTGACAGTCACTCTCTTGGCCCAAGGAGGATGCTCTTATTCTGTTTTCCGTTATGTTCTAATGTGTCAGAAATAGTTTTTAGCCTTCCTCAGCTAAAATGTGAGCTCCTCTAGGGTAGGTCTGGACTGTTTCTTGCCCATCATATCAACAAATTCTCTACTTCCAGATTCTCTACTTCTACACCAACTAACTGATTTAGCATAGACACTATAGAACTGGGGCTGGGGCTCCCCAGACATTTTCCACTTTAGATACCTGTTACACATTCCCTCTTCCGAGGTTGCTACATATAGATGTGTGCTAGGATACCTAACACCAGTAAGGAGCACTCTCCTTACATGTATTTGTTACAAAGGGTACAACTCAGGGTCACAGGGTAGTGCAGCCTAGGATCCGTCTCTGCTGGCTTGTCCTCCTCTTAGTGTGTTCACTGGCCCAGAAGCTCTCTGAGCCCCATCCCTTAGGAAGCTTATGGAGGGTTCATAAAATAGACACGACCAATTACATCATTGATTATTGATGACTAATAAGTTTGCAGGTTCCAGGCCTTCCTTTAATCATGGCACCAGCCTTCACCCTGAAGCTACCTACGGTTCTACTAAGGTAGAAGTTCTACCAAGGGTCTTCTCATTAGAGCAGAAGATATTCTTGCCACCTAAGAAATTCCAGGGCATTTGAGAACTGTCATGATCCAGGGACAAAAATGAAATAGATCTCTATCACAACGGGACTGTTTAAGCCTCTGTTTTCTCTTCAGCATCCTTTAAATTGCATGGGTCATCACATTTGGTTGAGTGGATGAAGCTGGGCTCAGAACTTGCCTTCTTCATTATTAAGCGCGAAAAAGTAGTGAAGCAGCATCTATGAAGATCCGAACCATCACTAGCTTCTGTAACATGTGAAAGTGGTGTGTTGTTAGATATGTGCGTGTCTCAGGTGCCCTTCCTGAAGCAATGAGTGGAGTATTGCTCTAGCCAGTCAGGTGGTGGATTCAGATGCCAAGCATGTGGAAGAGCTCTGCAGAACTCATCCACTCTTAACACCTAGTAGCCACTGCATCGTCACTGTGCTAAAACAAACAGCTTTTACAAGGCCCGTGATATCCTTACCATAAACAGAGCCTTCTGCACAAGCAAATAAGTGTCGTGTTGACACCTAATAATAACTCTTGCATTTTTAAAATGACAGTTGTAGACACATGCACTTTCATATGTAGCACACTGACCAGGGATGCTCAGACCGGGTCCCACTGGCCCTAGGACCACATGGGCTGCTGTCAGAGGCTGTTCCTGTGTCTTTCCATGTAATGCTTTTGGGGCCTTTGTTCTCTGTGAATGAACCCACCACTGCAGTGTGAAAGCAAGGGAGTGTCAGAGTTTAATAACAACCTCCTGAGAGATCTAACTGTGAAATGCGAGCAAGCATAATCAGTTTTGATACTAAATCTAAACAGATAAAATATTCTCATTACTGGCTGCTGTGGTGCGGCCTTTAATCCCATTACTTGGGAGACAGCCAGGTTTCTGAGTTTGATGCCAGCCAGGTCTACGCTGCCTCAAAGAAAAAGCCAAAAACAACAACAAAAACAATACTGTTAAAAGATGAGGACCCTTACACTGGATGGGAAATAAAGAAGAAGATACTTACAAGAAGATACTTACTGGAGAGTTAAAGCAGTAGAGTAGAAAGCTTGACAGGAAGCCAGAAAATGTGTGTATTTCCCCAAAGAAGTGAAGAAGCATTATTTTACACAGACTGTATACACAAAAGGACAAGCCAAGGCTGTTTTATACACGTAGATCACATAATATGCTGCATGACACAGCAAAGTCAAACCTGGGGTTGGTGAAAGAGTTGGGGGTGGAGTAAATGTGTCCCCAGGTCCCTGGCAAGTTAAATGGGGAAGGTTATGTAAGTCAAAATCAGTTCCAGAGAGAACTACTCTTAATCCATTTTAATATATGATTGAAATAGTTTTTTAGGGACATATAATTGATTAGAACTGATTTAAACAGTAAACACCCTGAAATGGAATATGTAGTCAAGTTTGTTTGCTGATATCAATTGTTGATGATGTCATAGATTAGTTCTCTCAACTTTCAAGGAATTTTCCTATCCTTTATTTTCCAGAGCATATTAAAAAGAGGAAAGTTTAGAAGCTAGCATGATGCTGAAAGCAAAATCGGGTAAGAATTACCGTAACGACTCACAGCTAAGTCTCACTAAAAAAAAAAAAAAAAATGTACAAGTCTAAACCAGCAAATTGTGCTGGGCAATGTTTTTATGTGTAGGACATCTAGATTACTTTTTAAGAAATGAAGTTCACTGTCATATTAAAATGGGTAAAATTTATTATCGGTAGGTCAAAAGGAAAACAAACAATTATTTCAGTAAATACCATGATGAGATTCCTGATAAAATTTATTAGGGAAATTTGCAGTTGTTTTGAATAATATATTACTAACTTTTATACCATACCTCAGAAATAATAAGAAATAGTAACAGAATATTAAAAGATACATCTCAGGTCATTTAGAAAGATATACTAAGTCACCAAGATAGAGAAATGATTCATCATTGAGAGGCAAGATGTATGAGCTGTGGGGAATATTGCTACAGTGTTACCCAGGAAACCATGACAAACAAAACATTTAATAACACCATGTATAAGGAAAAGGAATAAAATATAGCTTTTTTTCCCCTGTGTCTATGTCTACATGTATATAGCCACAAACCTTTACACACAGCATATCACCTACTGCTGAAAAATGTGTTTGTGGACACAGACATATCCCTACACCTGTAGGCTATCCTTATAGAGCTGACACAGTGTATAGAGGGGAAGTGGACCACAGCTATAGGCAGAGTGAAAACAGTTTCCTTGTTTATAGTTTCTAAGTCTTTTAAAAGCTGCTGGCTCACTTCTTTAATGGTAGAATCCCAGGGATGCCCTGTGTTTGCCTCATTAGCTCTCAGAGAGATGCGTAGAAGGTGTTCCTTAAGTTGCTACTGTAAATATATACAAGAAAGCAGGTGGCATCTTTGACTTTTAGTCAGATTGTATGTTGGAGGTATAATTAATACTTAACAGTGCAGCACTATGAGAAAGTCTTAGATGCCCCAAAGCTGTGTGTTGTTTCACATTTGAAGCATCCACCCAAAGGAAAATTCTCGGAACAGTTGCCCCAAATTAAAAATGTTTTTTTCTCTGAATTGTGTTTTTCTGCACTATTGAAGCCGACGTTTTTCCTGTTTGTAATAGGCTTTTTTTTTTTTTAATTTAATGCATTTTTTTTCCCCAGAAGAGTGTTTTGTTCCTATTCTTTTTCCAAATGTCAGGTCTTTCCACTTCACCCATGACTGACTGCTGGTAAGGCTTAGGGTAAGTAGGTTTAGGTTGTTACACATACTCTGACTCCTTTTATTTTTCTTTTTAATTTTTATTTTTATAAAAACTCCCTGCTTCCTAAAAATTTGAAGCAGTTTGGTAGCAGTATTGGTTAAGATAACTGAGCTGCTGCTAGAGTACTACAGCAATGTTCTAGGCCTGTCCATGGCACACTGTGCAGCAGGTTGACTGTGCATACTCACAGGAGCACAGAGTAGCCACCTCCATTTTACAGAGTAGGACACGAAGATGACCACCTGATTGACCTTTTCTAGGGCGCATAGTTAGTAGTGAGGGGGCACAGCTTTCACTCAGGACTTCTGTCTTCATAGCCCTTTGTAACACTGTGCCCAGACAAGACTTCCCCACCACTTATTCACCCTCAGGTTTGTCAAGTGATTTGTGGCTAGTGGATCTCAGTAGGCTAGAATATCAAAAGAATATTTTCAGGTTCTCCTAAGAAAGTACATACTAGGGGCAGCCTCCCCTTCCCAGGAATATGACTGATCATTGTGCACCACACACCAGTATCCACAGTAGCTTCTGTCACTGTTGCAGCAAAAGCTGGAATCCCTCAGCTAAAGTGCATGGATTTTGTTACCAATATGAGGCAAAGCAGGACTGTTCTGGGTGGGAGGCAGTCAGTAATTGCTGTCTATGTCACACTGTGCAGAGACGTCAAAGAGCTCAGGAGGGCAGCTCTCAGCATTTCCGTGTAGGTTGAAAGCGCCATTTCTCTGACAGCATCCTGGCCCTCCTCCTCCTTTCCCCACAGTCAGGGTCCATGTCCTTTCATATCACATGCCCTGTGTGTTTCTGTTTCTCTCTCTCTCCATTCTCTTAGTCTTGCATTGGCCTAGACACTTAACTGTCTCTCTTGATTGGTCTCACTTCACTCCTATATTCACCTCTCACAGAAGTGCAAGTTGAATCAAGCCTTTCTTTTCTTGGAAATCCTGTGCTTAGGTTCTGTAGGCTAAATCTGACTGACTTGGCTGGCTGTGTAATGTCGGTCCCATCTCATTCTTACTTGGATTTCCCAAGCACACACCACATGTCCACCATATTTATTTTTCCAAGATCCCATCATCTCAGGTTCTAACTTCCTCTCAGTGCCTCCTCCTTGCCCTTGTGTCTCCTTATGGAGCTGCTGAGCTCCTTGCTCTGTGAAGTGGTCAGTGGTCATCCCTTGGCCCTGTGAGGTTTGCAGCCACCTACTGTCTGTCTATCTGTCCTGTGGCACTGTCAAGTTTATACCTTCATTACCATTTAGCTTCTCTGTTCTGATTGTTGGCTCCTTTGTGCTTTTGGATCCTGAGGTCCTTTAGGGCAGGAATTATATTGTTAAAAATTCCTAGTCAGTAACAGAGTACATGGCACATGTTCACTGAAGTATGTAATTGTCATTGAAGTTTATCATAATGCTTCATTTGGGCTACTGTAACATAGGACATTATTAGAATTGTAAACTGAGAACATCAATCATAGAGCATTTAATTTGTAGTGCTTTTCAGGTTTTAGGGCCCTTCTGCATACTACATCAGGTTTCCAGGGGCTGAAATATCCGTATAGATGCTTTTAGCAAAGAATCTAAAAGGGAAACCAAAACATTCCTAATATATGAAATTGTCGAAGTATAAATGCAGTCAATAAAAAAGAAATTTCTGCTGAATAGATGAATGTAATAATTCAATCGTAAAGAGAAATTTCTCGCCTTTCCTTGGTGACTGGAGTACTTTAGGCCACTTGTGGATACTTGCCTCTCACTGACTTACAGTGTGTTTATCTCGCAGTAGATGACGTAGTAGATGAAAGTGATGACAACGATGATGTTGATTTAGAAGCTGAAAATGACGTTGAAAATGAAGATGACCTAGATCAAAATTTTAAGGTTAGTACATTTTTAACATTAGTAAACTTTATGAATTATATATCTCAGCTTTAAAACAAATTTGCCTCACCAGGCATGGTGGTACATTCCAGTAATCCCAGCTCTTGGGGAGGCATCGGCAATCAGATCACTATGAGTTCAAGGCCAGCCTGGTCTACACATAGAGACCAGGACAACCAAGGCTACACAGAGAAATGCTATCTCGAAAAATCCAATCAGCCAACCAACCAACCACCACCAAAAAAACCTCCCAAAAAACAAAAAACAAAAAAAACCAAAAAACAAAAACCAAAAGTACAACAAAACAAAAACAGATTTGCCTGCATGCATAGAAATACAGATAAAATTGTTTCATTTACATATTTTTCTTGTAGCTGAATCTTCTGGTCTGTAAATAGCCCTGAAGGAAAAGAGTTTAAGCTTTCTGACTTGGCTTCTGAAAACTAAGTAATGTAAGGAAAATTTGTTGAGACTGCTATGGCAGTTTATTTCAGAAGGCATTTCCTTATGTCGGTAATCATTGGGACTGTGAAAATACTAGGAAAAGAGTCTGTAACTAGGTGCTTAATGATGATGTCACAATTCTTAGAAGAATTGCTGGATTTAGGAAATATAAAACGAATGTTGTTATTACATGAGCTGTTAATCCAAGGAGGCTGGTGAGTTTTTAGAGTTGTATGCTTTGTCTGGAAGCTTAGAAGTCCTTTTTTGCTTTATTTGGTGCATCTTTAGCATCTGCTTGGCTTGTTTGCTGCCTGCTTTGAGGAAGAGCTAGCTTGACTCTTTAAAACCAATTATTTATTTATTTATTTATTTATTTATTTATTTATTTATTTATTTA